AAAAAAAAAATGAAATAAAAAATGAAAAAAAATAAAAATAAAAAAAATTTTTTTTTTTCTTTTAACAATTAATTATATTTTTTTCAAAAAAAAACTTCTGTATATTAATGTAAATCATCTAGTATATAATATTAGGTTTATAATAAAAAAATCATTTTTTTTTTTGGCAAAATGAAACAATTAATCGAATTAAAAATATTATACGTTACAAACCGATAAGAAAGAAAAAAAAACTCAAAAAACTTGTTATCAAACATGTAAGAGAAATAAAAAAGCAAGATCATCTAATCGCGTGCGCATAACAAAACTGTCAAATGGACCCTGCATGATACAAAAAAAAAAAAATATCAAATTTTTTTCATTACCATTTGCCATTATGCCATTATTTGCGGAATAATATTTTTTATTTTTTTTTAAAAAAAAAAAATTCAATGAAAGGATTTAATGAATGAATTAGTGTATGGTAAATTGTATACAACTCCCAAAAAATTTCCAAAAAAAAATTATAGTTTTTGAATATCCTTAGTAATATATGCCACTTTTCCATTTTTTATTTGAGAAAAGGTAAAAATGTGTAACTTAATTAAAAGATGCCGGGTCAAAACAATGGACAATGCCGAGACCAACAAAAACTCGAGATGTTTTTTTTAAACCTCCGATCCTTTCCTATAATAATTAAAAAATTTTTTGTATTTTGATTTTTTTTTAATACGAGAAAAAAAAGATTCCATAATTTACGGAAATTACGGAAATTACGAAATTACATAATTAAGAGGATTTTTTTGAATTTATCACGTGATATTTCATGCGTTTAACATGGGACTATGGGAGTATTGTGAGGTGGAATTTTAACGTAAATTTTTAACGTAAATTTTTAACGTAAATTTTTAACGTAAATTTTTAACGTAAATTTTTAACGTAAATTTTTAACGTAAATTTTTAACGTAAATTTAACGTAAATTTAAACGATAAATTATAAATTATGATAAAACATTTTTTGATCGCAACAATTAAAATTTGTCATTTTATATGTAGATTTCATTTAGTATATAGATATCATTTTATCATTTATGATTTATGATGTAGATATATCATATATATCATTTAGATTTAGATGTCATTCTAGATATCATTTTAGATATCATTTATATCATTTATATCATTTATATCATTTAGTGATCTGTATCAAATTTTGGCTGGAATTAAGACATACTATCATGGTACAAATAATTGGCCTGTTTTACATGTTTTACACATGTTATGGAAGTTCGTTTAATAACTTTTTTAACAAGTTAACAAGTAAAGTTAATAAAAAATTTTAAAAATTATCAAACGTATTAAAAATTATCAAACGTATTAAAAATTTTTTTAATCCGTTCAATAATTTAAATAATTCCATCAATTAATAATACCTTTTTTGATTTTATATAAATTATATTTATTGTTATTTTTGCATTTTTTCAAAAAAGAAAGAGAAATCACGTGACATTTCTTAAAAATCTCATTAAAAAAAGTCACAAAGTCACAAAGTCAACAAACGTTTTTTTCATTTAATAGTTCTAAATATAGAAACGTTTTGACATCATAAAATAAACATGATAAACAACGGATATTTACGCGTATTATTTTTAATTAAAATAATTTATCACGACAGAAAAGAAAAACAAAAAAAACATAAAACAATAAAAACATCACAAAAACATATAAATACATTTCTTTTAAAAATATATAAAACTGAAACAATTCCAACCTAAACATTACATAATTACGTACGTAATATAATTACGTAAAGTAAATACATATTATTATTTTATTCGCGTTTTACTTATTTACCTAACAACGTTGATCACATGATTCATTTATTGTAATTATTATATTTTTATTATCATAATGTAATGTAATTGCATTTGCATCTCTTTTTAATAATAATCACATTAATGCGAAATGACAGTTAATGTAAAAAAATAATTTTTGATAAGGAAAAAAAGGATGTTAATCTGTAATTTTTTAAGCATACTTAATAAGTAGTAAACAATAATGCAAATTGGATTCCTTCAATGAAAAAATTGAAACTATATTCCGTAACATTTTTATTATTTTTCAAAAAAGATAAAAAAGATATTATATATATATATTTATTTTATTTGTTTATTTATAAAAAAAAAAAATGTTTTTTTTTGTTACATTAGAAATCCATAATTATATATTTTATAATGAAGTGAAGATTTGTTTATTCACACGACATAATATTTATCGTTAAAAATCGGGTTTTTTTAATTAAAATTCCCTTGGATTTGGGGGTTCACAAGGTACGAATATAAGTCAGTCACACAGTAATAAAGTATTGAATTCCAAAATTTGGGTAAAAAAAAAAACATAAAGATTAAGGAGTCGACTTACCGAAACATTTTGACCCATTATTTTAAACATTTGAAAATCGGAATTTCCACAATTGATCTGCAAATTCCAGTCAACTTGCTTAATTTATCACGTGCAATATCTTAATATCTTTTATAAAAAAAAACTCCAGGATTTAAAATTTCCTAAATAAGAAAAAATCAAAAAAAATCATTTTGTTAAAAAAAGTTACGTTATTATGCGTGTGATACATACATCATATATACCAGATAAGTATTCATTTAATAAAAAAAAAATTATTTTTTTCTTACACAGGGAAAAAAAACGTGCATAAAATCTAAATGATTATTAGTTACAAAATGAAAATTGTAATACATATTACAACAACATTTACAACATTTACAACATTTACAATGTTATACAAGATTATAATTGGATGGTTTGTTTTGACTAAACTGTTATTGAAATGAAAATGTTTTTTTTTCATGTACGAATAAAGTGACCACAAAGAAGAAGGCTTTCGGAATTCGGAGTTTATTATATAAAAAGTTTCCGCTTGGATTTCAGCCCAACCCAAACGTATTTAATTTTCGTCATCTTTTTTTAGATGAAACGCGTATATGATTATATATTTTACAATGGCATTACTATAATTAAAATACCTTTTTTAATTTAAACTAATTTATTCGTCAAGATAAATTGTTTCGTGTTACATGTCGTCAAATAATTCGTTCGTGTTACATGATGTCACGTGAATTTACTTATTATCTAGACCAATAATAGTAAATTCCTACTTGAAACATCTGGTTATTCTGGTAACACGAAGAAATTATTAGTTTTGCCGGTTACTTCCCCGTTAAAAAAGAATTTACTAATACTTTTTGAATTTCTTTTTAAATTTATTTATTTTTACGGGAGGGAGAAATGAAATAATTTGTCTTTTTGTGTAACTCTTATTAAAATTACCAAAATGGAAATTCATTATTTAAAAAAAAAAAAAATTAATTAATACATACACAAATTTACATATATATATTTTTTTTTTTTTGAATGAATTTCCTTACGAAAAAATTAATTTTATGGTATGATTGTAATAAGTTACATATGAAACACTAACGAATGATTTCATATGATGATATAATTAATCACATTTTTTTAAAGTTTTTTTATAAACTAATCCAAAAAAAGTTACAAGTTTGAATATTGCGTTATATAACGCTATTTTACGCCATTTCGACTTTTAAAAAAAAAATCCAAAAGGTTTATTATTTAAAAAATGTAAGGTATATGTATGCGTCTTACGTTTTGCGTTTTTTTTTTTATCGTGTGTAAAAAAAATTTATCGTGTATAAAAAAAATATACCTGGTTAATTTTATACTCATTGTATTCAATTACCATAAAAAGGGTTCTTTAATAGAGTTTATAATTTATTTTCTTTTTTGAAAATCTCTCCCCCTCATAAAATCTCCACATTAAATGCTTTGTAGATTAAATCTCCCCTTATTCCTTCTTCACTTCTTACTTTAATAGGATGATATTCCGAATAGAATATTTAATTAATTAATTATATGCAAACTGGGAGGAACCCACGAACTAATTGAAATTAACCAATAAATTACATTTGTTGGTAACACAACGGGTACATTAGAACAACATATCCCTTTTTTTTTACTGACCGTGCGTTTTTAACACACCGTGCGTTTTTTAACACAATGTAAAAAAAAAAAAGGACTAAAGAGGATTGAAATGCATGATATCAAAATTCGCCACATTATAATTTGTGAATTTCTTGGCATGCGAAAGGCCTCGAGTCAGTAAAGAACAATTTTTAATCCTTGATTATTTATTACCATGTCAGGTAATATTGTTTATATGACAGCTTGTGTTACCAAAAAAATTTTTGAATTTTTTTTTCTCACAATCCAATAAAGTAAATGTTTTTTTGTGTTTGCCCTATTGCGCGTTCCATACACCGCTACAAAAAGACAAAAAAGAGGTCATTGAATTTTATTAAATGTTTGTTTTCTTTATAAAAAAAAGAGATCTATTGGTTACATTTGTTATTCGCGTGTTTGACATTTTTTGACATTTTAAATTAATAATCTCCTGATACTCTTCTTCTCCTGACCATTTAGAAAAATGTAAAAGATAAGGAGGTTTGAAAAAAAAAAGAATAACTATAGTATACAATACAACAATATCATAATACGGAAATATTTTTCTCCAAAAGTAATATTGACGACCTTATCAGTTATCTAGAAATTGACCCGGATCTTAATACCCGGACCGGTTTTTTAAGCGGATAATATTGTTGTTTACCGTTTCTTCACTCTATTTAGTTGGATCGGGTATGTTTACACAAGGTTTAGTAATCCTTTTTTTGATGGAATTTTTGGTCTGCATGTTTACAAAAGTGGCGGAAAAATTAAATTTTTTTTCTGATCATTAAGGGGTTTTGAAAATTGTTATAGTGTTATAGTACGGTAGTATTACTTGTTATACTTGTTATTGTGGTATTGTTATTTAAAATATGATGAGTGGATGAAGTCATAGTATATTTAAAACAATTTGTCTATTCATAGACGCAGAAAGCCACGCTTATTTGGAGTAACAAGCCAAAATAATTAGTCATTTGTTTAAATATAAAATATATTTGTGATAAAAAAGAATTATAATTATTATTATTATATATATTTATATAATATATAATAAATTATTGTATAAAATATAATAAATTTATATAAATGTCATTGTATTTCTGAGACCTCAAATGTATTAATTATACTGGCGTTTTTTATTTCCATTTTTAAATAGTGACAATGATGTCATCGTACCGAAATTCCACGGGTCCTACATTCACGTCATTTATTTATGTAGATCATTGTTTTGAATTATCACAGTATCACACGTTGATCATTGTGATCTGAAAAAAGACAAAAAGACATGGTTCGATAAAAAAAATGTAACACCTAAAAAAAAAAAGATTCTTTGTCGTAGAAAGAAAATATTCCGTTTCGACCCTTTTTCACTTTTAATTGATTATTAATCAGCCAACATTTGATGATATTTTTTTCGGCGTAAATCGTTACGATTTCTTTTTTGGCAAAAGTTTATTAATTTGAATCATTTTATTGATATCATGATACGTTTTTGTTTTCTCTTTAAATAATAATAAAAAAAAGACGGGATTTCCCGATAAAATAAATCTCTTGTTAAAAAAGAGTAAAAATCAAAAAAAGATTATCAAATTGATTTTTTTTTTGTTTTTTGAATTAAAAATTAATTTTTTTTAAAAGAAAAAAAGAAACGCGTTAAAACCATGTTCAGTATTACAAATAAAGGATTTCTAAAATTAAAAAGGGATGAAAATATACATTTATATTTTTTTGGTGTCAATAAATGTCGATAATGTCGATAAATGTCGATAAATGTCAATAAATGTCTAATAAATTTATTTAAATTTATTTAAAAAAAAGAGATAAAATTTGATCATTTAATTCACATGAAAAAAAAATAAATTTCTTCCTTTTTATATCTTGCACTACAATTAAAGAAAACCACTTAAATTCCATGGAAACTTTTTAATATCACCATATCATCCATTTTATGATATTAATAATGATGATGATATTGATAATATTATTGTCATAAATATTATCAATATCATCAATATCTTTAATATCTTTTAATATCATAATTGTCATAAATATCATCAATATCTTCAATATCTTCAATCAATTCAATATCTTTCAATATCACTAATATCATTATTATCATTAATTGTCATAAATATCATAAATATCATAATTTGTACTACATAACAATTATCACATAAAGTTTCGTCAGTTTTTTTTTTCAATTTATCCTTTATAGTTTAAACAGAGATTATGTAAAATAATAAAAAAAAAGAAGATATCAATGGTAACATAATAATGCATGTTTAGAAAACTAACTTATTTCACTATCATTATCAATCAATCACAAGATGTGATTTAAAAATGGCTTTCTCCGCTCAACCCCCCTTTATTATTTGATTATTGATTCGCGCCAATAATTTTACTATACTAAAAATGTCCTCACTTTAGGAGGTAAGCCATTTCGTCATAAATTTTTACACATGGTCGGATCAATCTATGGCCGTTTTATTTTAGAAGGGCCGAGAACTTTTTGATATAATTATTATATGGTACACGATTTTGAATTTTCGTTTTAATTTTTTTTTTTTTAATGAATTGTGCAACAGAAGATATAAACAAACAAAAAATCTTTTTATATTTTGTACAATAAAAAAAAATTCCAAACAATATGTGATATATTTATATTCTAAAAAAATTTTTTCCTTTATAAATAACTAGGCATAAATTTTTCTTTTCAAAAAAAAAAAAAA